TGAGGGAAAAACATAGGTGACTTGAATGAGCAGGTAGTTGGAGAAGCTTTACTGAAAATGAGAAACAACCAAAATGACCACAAAATGATCTGATCTGAAACTGAAGTAGTGAGTTAAGGATGAAGAGGAAGGTCACACAAGACAATTCCTTTACTTTGAAACTGTTCTCCAGAGTTACCAGTGGACTCTTCATTGCCAAACACGATGGACTTTTCTCAATCATTCTTCTTAACAGCTGGGCTGCAAACAGCACTGCTGACCACTCCACCTCTTCTCCTGGATCTTTTCCTCTCTGGGTTTTTATGCTCCCTTCTGGTTCATTCTCAGTCTCCTGTGTGGGTTCAGTGGGTCCTTTTCTCTTATCTCTCTGTACTCTTACTTAGTGAACTCATTGGTTCTCATAGGTTTTAAAATATCAGCTCTATGCAAATGTCTCAAGGATCTACATATCCACCCCAAGCCTCTTTCCTGAGATCCAGTCCTGCATCACCAAATGCCTACTGAACATTTTAAACTGTCTCTTAAATACCTCAAATTCAAGCATGCCCCAAACAGAACCTTTTTCCTGAAACCAACTGCTCTTCCAAACTTCTCTATTAGTGTCAGAGGCACTACCATCCTTCCAGTCGCCCAAGTTTGTAACTGGAGTGTTAGATTCAACTCTTCATTCTCACTCATGCCATATATCCAATCAGCTGATAAATCCTCCTGTTTCTCCCTCCCCAACACCTCTTGCATTCATTCCCTTCTGACTCCTTATAAAGCCACCATCTTAGTTCAGATCCACATCACTTCTCATCTGGACTACTGCAACAGCCTCCTCACTAGTCTTCCTACTTCAGGTCTTCTAGTTTCAATCTATTATCCACACACCTAGCAAAATTATTTTCCTTAAGCACTATTCTGATCATGTCACCTCTCTATTCAATTAATTCTACTGGCTCCCAATTGTCTCCAGAATAAAACACAACCTCCTCAGTTTGCCATTTAAAAATCCTTCACCACCTAGCCCCAGCCCTTTTCCAGTCTCATCCCACATTATTCCCCTTCCTGTACTCGATGCTCAACTCAAACTATCCCGCTCACTGTTCCTCACACATAACACTTAATATCTTCAGTCTCCATGTCTCTGCACTGGCTGCCCTCCATGCCTGGAAGACATACACTCCCCTTCCCTTGGGACTCAGTGAATTCCTAGGTCCCTCAAGATTCAGCTCAAGCTGAATCTAGGAAGTTAGGTGGCTAAGTGGATAGTGATAGGACCGGAGAGAGGAAAATTTGAGTTCAGCTACTTAACTAGTTGTGTCACTAGGCAAGTCATTTAACTTCTCTGAGTCTTAGTTTCCTCATCAGTAAAATGGGGATAATCACAGCATCTACCTCCTAGGTTTGTGGTGAAGATCAAACAAGATATTTGTAAAGTGCTTAGCACAGTGCCTGACACATAAAGCATTTATTAAATGCTTGTTTCCTACTCTGAGGTTTCCTCTCATACCCTGCAAATTGGTATAGATAACAAAAAAATACGGCAATACTCAGTGCTGGAGGGGTTGAAGGCATACTAATATACTCTCAGTGGAGCTGACAAGTGTAAGAACCTTTTTGGAAAGCAATTTGGAATCATGCAAATAAAATGACTCAAATGTCCATACAGAGATTTCATTACTAGGTTGATATCCCAAGGAAGCCACCGATAAGAAGAAAGTTTCTATATACACCGAAATATTTATAACAGCATTTTTTTGTGATAGCAAAGAATTGGAAACAAAAGTAGATGCTCATAGATTTAGGGAATGACCAAATAATACTATTACATATTTAAATGACATGTAAATAAAATTATTACATGTAACATAATATATGAATGTAACGTAATATTACTATGCTGTAAGAAATGATGATTGTGATGAATACAGAGAAGCACGGAAAGACCTACATGAAGTGATTACAGAGGGAAGTAAGCAGAATCAAGACAATATACACAATGCCTACACCAATGTAAATGGAACGATCATACACAAAAAAATCAAAAGCAAATATAGCAAAATCATAAAGATCAGGCATGACTGGAATGAAAAGATGAGAAGACACCACCAATCTACTCCTTCATTGAGGTGGGAGGTCCAGAAGTGTTGCACATTAAACATGTTTTCAAATTTTTTTCAACATACTGATTTTTTCCCTCTTCTTTTTTCTTTTCTTTGTCTTTAAAAATACTATTTGTTATATGGGATGAGCCTTTTAGAAGGGAGAGAGGAAGGAATACTGGGGAAAACTATGATGACGTAAAAAACAGAAGCCACTAATACAAACTTATTTTTAAAAATTCTTGTTTCTTTCTTCATGCTTTAGCTTCTACGTGAATCCTTTCCTGATACCTCCCATTTACTTGTATCCTCCTCAAACTACAATGTATTTATCTTGTATTTATTATCCACATACTCATATACTCATATGTATTGTCTCACTTGATAGAATTAAGCTCCTAAACAGAGACTTTTATTTCTGTCTTTATATCCCCAAGACAGTTGAGTACAATACCCAACACAAAATGTCTGTTGACTGGTTTTAATATTAGGCAAGTGGAATGGGTTTCAAGTTCTTCTCACAAAACAGATAAAGAAACTAATTTTTCAACCATCTTACTTTCAGAAATCTAAACTCAAAGGAGAGAAGAATTTTAAGTCTACTGGGCAGAAGCTGGAAAAGGAATCAAACAAATATTCACTACATGTCTACTACGTGTAAAAGACTATTGTTGTTCAGTCTAGTCTGACTCTTTGTGAACCCAAGTGGGGTTTCTCGGCAAAGAGCATGGCTTGCATTTCCTTCTCCAGCTCATTTTACAGATAAGGAAACTGGAGCAAACAGGGTAAGTGACTTACCTAAGGTCACACAGCTAATATGTGTCTGAGGCCACATTTGAACTCAGAAAGATGACTCCACTGTGACTCCAGGCCCAGCACTCTATCTACTGTGCCACCTAGCTGCCTCACCATTAAGTAAGTAGGTCTGTGCCAAATACAAAGAAGTATAAAAGTCTGGGTTCCTGTCCCCAAGGAACTTAATGGTCTATCATTTTGATAAATATTTATTGAGTTTCTACTCTTCACTGTGCTAAGGTAAGGGTGGAGGGAGATACAAATTTGAGTAAGACACAGATTCAGAACTCAGGAAATAATCTAGCAGGAGGTACACAGAAATATGTAATATAAAATGTGAAGAGGCAATGTAATTGCGCTGACAGAGGATAAACGCTGGAGTCACAAAGACCTGGGTTCAGCTCTAGCCTCGTGGTCATATGGTCATACCAACTCTGCATGACCATGGACACAATCACTCAACCTCTCACTGTCCCAGGACATTATCTTATACTCTTAATTTTATGGTTACCCATGAGTTTCCTCACAGCACGAGGACAGAAGAAAGGGTCAGGAGATGAGGGACCAGGAATGGAGATGCATTTGTCCAAGATCATGAAGGGCAGAGAGGATTTCAACTGTTAGAATTATGGGAGTTAGAGAACTTTAGGTAAGAACAGCGCGAGCAAAAAGGCAACAGAAGCTGGAAGGGGTACAAGGAACAAATCAGCCCATGAACCAACAAGCTCAAATGCATTCTCTATAACACTAATCCCTAATATAAAGATGCAGAGGTCGTAGATAGTATCATATTTGAGGAATAGAATGGCCAGTCTGACGGGCATGTACAATATTTGGGGGGAAGGTGTTAACAAGGTTGGAAAGGTAGGATTGTGAAGGGGTTTTAAAAGCCAAACAGAGAATTTATATATATCCTACAGGTAAGAGGGAGCCTCACGAGATCATTTAGTAGACATGGTTACACTTGTGGCTTAGAAAAATCACTTCCGTGGCTCCAGGAGAGTAGCCCAGTATGGATGCAATGCACAGCCAGAGCAGGAGAGAAATAAAGCTGAAAAAAATAATTTGGAGCCAGATCCTGGCCAAGCTTAAAAAATTTAAAAAAAGAAAAAGGCCTAATTTATTCAAAAGCAAAAAGGAACGATGACAATAGTGTGGGAATGTGATCAGATTTATCTACTATGAAAATAAATATGAAGCAGTTGATATTTCCTGTAAATTGGTATAGCTTTTGACGAAGTTTTACATAAAGTTTCCCAACTTCACATACTTTAGCTCAGTCAAATTCTTTCCCTTATATTAAAAACGTAGACCACACACACTCTTTCCCAAGAAAAAGTTGCGCAACATATTGGACTTTAACTTCTGTCCCATCTGAGATTTCCGATGATCAAGTGAATATTCAAGGGCTGAAAGTGAATTTAAGATGTTTGGATTTAGGAGTAAATCAGGAATGCCACCACTTTCTTTCAAAGAATTTTAAAACTGAAGGAAAAGGCCTTAACCACCACCTACTCCTTTCCCATTCCCCATCTCCCACCCCCATTTTAGAGGAGCCACAAGAAGTGTACAAATTATTTGTAGATTTACTGGAGATCTACAGGATTCCTTTTCAGGCATCGGTGGGACTATCTCTGAAGCCCGTTGGAACTGAGAGATTCACTCAGTGAAATTCAAGGAATCTAAAATAATGGCCTCCTATAAAACCTTTAAATCTTTTTATTTCATTCCATTCAATCACTTCATAAGACGAGGTCCCAAACGTCGCTAACACCAGTAATAAGCAAGTAAGCAGTATTAATATTTCACTTGTTCCACTTTTCTTAAGTTAATGTACACACACTTGTCCCAGGACTTTTCTGACAAGAACAAACTTTTCTGGCACGTTAAATGACTCAAGATGACTTCAGGAGCTCTCCACGGCTTTAGAGTCAAAAGAAAATGAAGTTGAATAAAAGAGAAAAGAGGTTTGTGTCCGTTTTAAATCACCATCACCAAAAGATAACCAGCATTAATCTTAACCCCAAAACATTTTCCTACTTTAAAAATGCAGGAAAAAATGGTAAAGTGGTAACGGTAAAGATACTCGTCCACTCGCCAAACCTGAATTTAACTCACCTTCCTGGATTTTAGTTGCTCCTTCTGTGCGGAACCTGATGGCGATTTTGTCCAGAAAAAGCCAACAAATGGCAAAGACGAAAGAATGTCAGAGAAGAGCCCAAATTGAGACTTTTTTGGCTGGTGCCTATGGAGTCCTCCATTCCGATAATGGTATCGGTAAGACAGCACCATACCCAAAGAAAAAAACACTAGCACACACAAGAACAACTCCTTGTTGGCATAAGTTAGAAAGTCCCCACATTTCTTATAAAAATAGGTGAAAGTGGCAATCCCTAGAAAAGTCCACATGGCAGACGGCTGTCTGGGGCTTCGGCTGGGGAGGGCAGTCTCCGTGGCGCTTCTCCTCGCTACTAGCAGCCTGGTCTGCACATTCAGGCGCCTCCGGACACAAGGAGCCCCGGTCAAGTGTCCCTGCGATACGCGTGCCCTAAACTCCCAAGCACCGGCTATAATTCAGATAAAGATAAAATGTTTGGTGAAAGCACCCACTCGGCCGAGGGGTTGGTGGGAAAGCTCAGCACCCGCGCCAAAGGGCGGCACGCCTCGGACCGGCCCCTCGCCCACGGGTGAGGTGGGGGTGGGGTGGGTGGGGTCCGTGGGGGACCGTCCCGAGAGGGAGGCGGCTCCCGAAGCAACGGGAGCTCAGCGTGCCGGCCACGCACGGGCCGGGCAGAGGCAGCGGGCGTGCTGGGTCGCGGGAGGGAGGACACCACAGGGACGCAGCCCGGGCATCCCAGCCGGGCTCGGACGCTGAGGCGGCCGCCGGATGTCACCGGGGGAGTCGGCACACCTGGACGGCGGGGAGCCGCGGGAGTCCTCTCAGGTTCGGCTCGGGACCCGCGCACGCTGGAGCATCCTGGTCGAGTGCCAAGGGGGCTGGCGGAAGGGTTACGAGCCGCCCACCTTCTCTTGCTGAGGGCCGCCAACGCTCCGGGATTGGCGTCCAGGCGGCCGTGAGTCGTCTCTTCCGTCGGCGCGGGGGAGGCGGTGGAGCCGGGGGGGGGGGGGGGGCCCTGGAGGCGCTTCCCGGTAACCAGAGTAACCGAGGGCTCCGGGTGCGCTCCCGCGCCCGCCCCACCCCTCTCGCGCCCGCCCCAGCTCCCGGGCGGCCAATGGCGAGACGCAGCGCACGTAGGCCGACATGGCGCTATGGCGGCAGTGGCCAATAAGAGGCGGAGGGCCCGGTCCGGAGACGCCCGGTGGCCCTAGGGAGAGGTGGCGTGTGTCCCGGGAGGCGGGGAGGGATGCGGGCTGCGCGGCGCTCTCCGCGTGCGAGGGGGTGGATCTGTCTGTGATGGCTGCCGGGGAGGGGAACGGGATGCCCGCCATGGTGGACCTGGCGCGCCAGCCTCCGGCAGTCCTCGCGTTGGGCCTCCTTGTTCCGGTCCTCCCCCCCCCCCCAGCTCGCCCAGCTGGAAGAGCGGGCGAGGAGGCGGCCGCGGGCCTGTGCCCTCGTGGGCAGAGACAGAGCGCGGGGGCGGCGGGCGCACTTCTCACTTCGCCCGTGTGTAAAACGATGATGGCGATGGCCTAGACGGCCTCATTGGTTCCGTCAAGTTGCCAAATCCATGATCTAACACAGAGCAAGAGGAAGGAACTCATTGATGAGTCACCTCTTAACCCAAGACCTGCAAGTTTATAGTTGAGGAAACCGAGGCGGGTTGACTTGCCCAGGGAAGAACCTGAATTTCATTCGTGGTTGGAGACATTTAAGGGGTGTTGTCCATTTCCATTTCTGTAATTGCTACTTGAATAATATTAACTACTAAGAATAAGAATGCCATTTAATACCTGGAGGTTTGCAAAGATCTTTACAGATTTTCTCTCATTTTACAACACCCCTCGGAGGCAGGTGCTGTATTATTATTCCTGTTTTACAGAGAAGGAAACTGTGGCTGAACCAGGTTAAGTGACTTAAAAAAGGTCCCTTCTCTCTAGGAACTTTTAGTCTAATGGGGGAGACAATGGTGAGAACAACTATTTAACAACAAGACATATACAGGATAAATTGGAGATAATTTACTGAGGAGGGAAATTACCATTAAGGATAGGGGAGAGGCTTCTTGCCAAAGGTGAGAGTTAGCTGCCACTTGAAGGAAGCAAGAAGCAAGGAGGCCAAGATGAGGAAGGAGAGTATTCCATTCATTAGGGACAGCCAAGGAAAATGCCCCAACTTGGGAGGTGGAATGTCTCGTTCAAAGAACAACATGGCAGTTCCACTGTCACTAGATGTCAGAATATATGGGGGAACAATGATCCTGGGGGCAGCTCTCAGATGCAGGGGCTGCTGTGTTGCTTGTTTTGGTTTAACTGTTTTGTCTGTTTTACAAAGGAAGGATGGGGAAAGAATCGTTTCAAAACAAAAGGGAACAATAAAATGTTTCTTAAGTTTAAAAAAAACAAAATATATATATATATATATATACATATCTTGATATGAGCTTCACGTCTCTACGTACTGATTCCATTGTAAAATAAGGTTACTGAATCAAAGTCCTTTCCAGTTCTGTAATTTTATAATTATGTAGTATACACAGCATCGTACTAAGCATTCTGCAGGACATAAGAAGGATAAAGTGCCTGTTCTATTGTTGATGTTTGCTCCAAACATTTTCTGTTCCACTTTCACCTTGCCATACCGAAAGAAAAGTTTTTTCCCTCTAAAACAAAAATAAAACCCGGAACCCTAACAAGGTTTAAGTGATTCCTTGAGATTTTTCCCTAATTGAATGAACTCTCTGTGAAAGCTTCAAAGACCTGATGCTAGGAGAAAGAAAAGTGTAAATCACTCAGACCGGACATTTGCCCTGAGTCCTAGCTGCAGGCAATGTCTTTACCTCAGTTTTCTATCTCTTCTCGTTTTTTCAGTCGTGTCCAACTCTTTCTGACCTGGCCCATACTGCCCATGGGGTTTTCTTGGCAAAGATACTATAGTGGTTTGCCATTTACTTCTTTAATGGATAAAGGCAAACCCAGGTTCAGTGACTTCCCTGGGGTCACACAGCTAGTAAGTGTCTGAGGCTGGATTTGAACTCCAGCCAATCTAGATCAGGCATCTTGCCATCTACCATACTGTTGCTGTAGATGTATCACACCCAGCCCCTTAACTCCAATCTATTTTCCAACTCTTGCTCAGAGGATGATAATCAAATCATTATTACTAACACTACTAAATTGGGGTAGTGACATTCTACTACCCTATAGCTACTTCACTCACAAGTCCTGTAACTCTCTAAAGCTCCCTTCTTTGGCTACAACTCTCTAGTAAGTGCTATAAAATGTAAACTCATTGAGGGCAGAGGCTCTGGCCTTTCTCTCATCTTTGTATGAGCAGAGCGCCTGGCACATAGAAAACACTTAACAGTAATTGATAGGTTGATTTCCAACACATTAAAACATAAAAATTATACATTTTTGAAGGAAAAAAATGGACAAAAAAAAGAGAGAGACTCCATCTGGGCAATGTTTGGAAGGTTACAAATATTTCTTTTTCCCATGGATTTATGACCCTGTGTTGTATAAGGCAAGTCTCAGTGTTGCATAATTAGTCCAGACACATGATTAACCATTAAAATGCTTAGTATCCCTCAGAGTAAAAGAAAAAAGAAAAGAAAAGAATACTATTTATAAGCTATGGTTAAGCTGAACTGAGATATGGAGGAAAAAAGGGATGTTCTAAGAATCTGGTGCATTTTGAGAAAAGAGTAAAAGAAGCATTGTAGTTTCACTATTAAGTCCAGCAAGAGGGAGGAGCCCTTTGTGGATTTAACTTAAGATGAAAAAGGGGATCATGTGGTGGGAATGGGAAACATTTGACTGTGACCTTCATTTCCTTGACCCCTCAGTTCTCTCCCAGGCCATTTCCTCTGTACTAGCAGCTCTCTCCTCTTTTCCCCATCTCAAACCCTTGGTGAACCAATTCAACTCTATACCGTCATCTCAAAACTTTTCCAGAGTCCTGGGAAAAGCCTTTTGGAAAGGTTGGTGATAAGTTGAGGCCAAAAGAGACTTGTCTTAAGGAAATGGACCAGGGGTGGGGAACCTGTGCCTCTAGGCCACAAGTGGCCTTCTACATCCTAGGGTGCAGCCTTTTGACTGAGTCCAAGTTTTACAGAAACAAATCCTTTTATTAAGGGGATTTGTTCTCTGAAGTCTGGATTCAGTCAAAGGGCTGTATTTGAGGACTTAACAGGGCCACATGTCCTCAATGCCCCAGTTTCCCTACTCCTGGATTAAGCTAATGATTTTTGTTATTGTTGTTCAACTCTGTCCAACTCTTTGTGACTCCATTTGGGGTTTTCTTGGCAAAAATACTGGAGTGGTTTGCCATTTCCTTCTCCAGCTTATTTTTACAGATGAGGAAAACTGGGGCAAACAGGGTTAAGTGACTTGCCCAGGGTCACACAGTAAGCATCTGAGACTGAATTTGAATTCATGAAGATGAGTCTTCCTGATTCCAAGCCCAGTGCTCTATCCACTGCACCATCTAGCTGCCTGAGCTTCCTTTTAACAAAAAGGAGTTCTTGGCTTTGCCTTTGTTTATATCATTGCCTTGTCTGTTTGTATCAAGGTCACCCCAAATGCCTGAAGGATTAGCCCTAATACACCCCTCCTCCCCCTTTACCACTGAGAAAATTTATTGAAATCTATCAAATTCCTTGAGGGGAATGGCCTTTTCTTCCTTAGAATTGATATGTTAGGCCTACTAACCATGGGTATTCCACAGGACTCTGTCCTGGGCATCTTCTCTTTTCCATCTATACTATTTCACTTGTTGATCTCTCTTGGATTAAATTATCATCTCTATGTGGATGATTCTCAATTCTCCTCATCTAGCCCTAACCTCTACCTCTTTGACCTCCAGTCTTGCATTATGAACTGCCTTTTGGTCATTTAAAACTGAATGTTTGAAGGGCAGGCCAGTTTGGACATCTTTGTCTTAAAGCTAGAAATGGTTGGATGTCAGATTAATATTAAATAAAATTGTTTTTGGCAAACTTGAGCCTAAAAACCTGGAGTATTAGTATTTTTTGGGGGGGTATGAGAGATGATCTCTGAGAATCTCTCGGGAATAAAGCCTTCTCAGGGAGTTAATAGCTTCTTGTTCTGTTCAAACACTTGCAGCCAGTTGACCTTGTAAAGAAACATCCTTTTCAACACTTCTTGTACTTTATCAGACTTCCTCCTCCCTTTCTAAAACTATTGCTTGAAAAAGAAAACCTCCTGCCTTTCCCTGTCTCCAGGCAAGTTGTAAAAGTGTCTTTTGTTCTTTGTTGCTGGGGTAGATTGCCGGGAATAGCCCTGAGGAGGGGGGAGAGGGGATTGCGACTAGGACCTATGTAACCTGTTGTTCTGAACACACCTTCCTGCT